AGATAAATAGAATAAGAAGTCAAATACAAAAAAAAAATAATTCGACCATATGAGACAACTAATTAGCAGTCCCGACGAATCGGAACACTCCGCGTGGTAAACACGCTGATGTCACCGTCACACGGGAGGCCATGCGGGCAATCCGCGTGTCCAGCGATCCGACGACCCAGGTTCGATCCCGTGCACGTGAACGGCTCAAATTCGTTCCCTCCTTAGGTATAATCGAACGGACGAGATCAATTCCGATGAACGATCTAGATTCATCTACCTAATCGGCATAAACAAGTAACGATCATACGACTCTCCTCGCTCCACGTTGACGCGAATGGATGGCCTAAATCGACACAAAATGAATATAAAAACATCGCGTCGGAGGGGAACCCCAACCCTATTCACCCTGCCCCTGCCAGAGAAGAATGACCAGTCGCTGGAAAAGAAAGTCGACCACCAACCAACGCTGCACCAGAGCCACCGGCGCTGCACCAAAGCCACCGCCGATCGCCAAAAAAAGTATAATTTCTCCATACCCGCTTGGAATTCGATTTCAAGCCTCCCTGTCACCATATCGGAGTAAGAGGGACAACGAGTGAGCTAAAAAACGCAAACAAAGTCTGGCGGAGCTACCGTGTCTGAAATCCAAAACTCTCTCCGATAAGCCTCTTTTTGTTTTTCATTTCACGCGATTTTTCGATTATTGTGTTCATCGTCTTTTTCTATGCAGGTTAGCCGAAGAAAAAACTTCAACTGTAAAGGAGAACCGGTAGAGCCGCCGCACCTAGAAATCTCCTATCGGTAACTTCAGTTTTCTCATGATTTCCAACCAACCAAATCATCTTAACGTATTTTTTCGCATGAATATGTATAAAATCGATTAAAATCGGTCAGACCAATGCCAACCGGTGTCGTGGGCAGCGGAGCCGGCGCCAGAACACGGCGGCACCGCCGTGTCGGAACTTTAAAATTAGTCAAAAAGAGTTTTTAACACCGATTTTAGGTTTTTTTTGGTATTTTCAAGTACATGACGAGTATTTTAGGTTACCACAAGAAAAATTCAAGAAACTCAGGACCTGTTGAAAGGTGTAGTGGACAGTTCGGCATTTCGAAATATCGATCCGGATAAAGATCTCTCACCTTATTCTCTGTTACGATAATATAATTGCAATACATATCTTTTTAAATGTTACATTTTGATTAAAATAGAGTTTTTAGATAATGACATAAAAAATAAAAGTGTGCTTAAAAATTAATATTGAATCGTATGCACCACGATATATGATTACTTCTTAAATTGCAAGTAGAAGTAGATAGAAAATGGGTTTACCTAATTAATTTTTAATCTCTCTTTAACATGTAATTGGGGGATACAAAATAAGAACAAGTAGTAGAACGAGCCCTAACAAAAAAAAAAAAAAAAACTCTTGAAAATTTTTGTACTATATTAAAGTGTTGACTAAATTTTATGTGGGTTTATAATTAGAATATCAAATTAAATATTTTTTAAGAATTTATTTAAAGATATATATGTATTTTAGCTTAGAAGATGATATAAATATTATTAAAAATAATAAAAACATATTTCATAATTAGAATAATACTATCTAAGTTCAACAAAAATTAATAAATTTGTTTGATTAGATCATTTTATTTCTTTCTCGTTTTAAAATGTTTTTTTAAAAAAACATTAGGATATCACAACCTTGTTATAAAGAAAATTCTTCAAAAAAATTTCTTTACGAAACTTTAATCTAGATATTGAAATCCCAGGAATTTGATTGTTTAAACACAAAATACGATGATGAATTGCTAGTTTATCTTTCTTCATCTAATTTTTTTTTAAAAGGTATTTTCATTTAAAAACCTATAAAATACTTGGATTTTTTAAAATCCAAATTAGGCATAATGAAAATTTTAAGGTGGTAATTGGTAATTTAACCAATTTTAAAACTGTGAATTAATTGATATTTCTTTTTAATCCACAATTATTTTGGGCTAAAGCGGGCGGGTTGAAAGACACGAGCAAATAAATTGGAAGGAAAATGACCCGAACGGAAATGCGGTTTTAATTTGCGCGGTAACCCGAGAATGAAGGAGACACGGAGAGGAGAGCTTTGGGAAGAAGAAGAAGAAAAAAAAACATGAGGCGGGTTTCATTGAAACGCCAATCGCCATTTCATGTAAGTCACTTATCCTATCCAAATTTGTAGAGAATTCATGGAAAGGTTTCTTGTTCTTAGATACGTAAATTTTTTTTTTTAGAATTTTCTTTTTTATTTTTTTGGAAAAAGGTACTTTCCCTCTCTCTCTCTCTTCTGTAATTCGAGCAAGAATCGATTATAGAAAACTGAAAATGGCTCTCTACACCTCCCAAATCCAGCGAATGTACGCATTCTGTTTTTGACCACCTTTGTTTTCTTTCGTGGCTTCGTCTTTTGCAGTCTTCTTCTCCCTCTTTTCTCGAGAAATCAGATATAGCATCATCCACATCAACAAACACGGCTTCTATAATCTTTTTGCCAAAATACTTCATCTGGATTTGAAGGAAAGGAATCTTCTCTTCTGGGGCTTGGCCCCGGCATTATCTCCTGTCGACGTCTCTGGTTTCTTAAAATAACTTGCAGCATTGAGAAAATATTTGCAGCATGATTGTTGTTTGTGTTTCATTTGGGATTAGAAATTTAGGATTTCAGGATGGCAATTTTTGATGAGAAAATATTGAGACGAATTTGAAAGAGAAGAAAATCGAAGGGGAAGAAGGAAGAAAGAGAAGATTATTTCATAAGAAGTTATTGCTGGAGGGGGACGTTGACGGCTCCCAGCAAGAGGAGGAACTTATGGCAAGCTCGGTTAATACGCCGAGCAATTCATCAAGTGTTTCTCCTCCTGCACCAATTGGTTCAGAATCAGATCCTACCACTGCTCCTTCACCATCTGTTAGCCCCATCGATGATCCTTCACAATCTTTAGTAGCACCAGAGCCTAGTCCTCAAAACCCTTCTCCACCATCAACCCCAGCAGGTTCCTCTCCTCTACCTTCTCCTTCTACCTTCGGTGATTCTAAATCCTCTGCAACTCAACCACCATCTAGTGATCCTCTTCCTCCTCCGTCTCGTCAATTTGCTGGTTCTTCTGACAAACCATCCAATGTTAATTCACCCAATAAACCTTCCGTTCCTGCATCTCCTCTTCCGGTTGCTTCCCCTGATTCCGGCTCAAAATCATCGGCGCCATTTGTACCCACACCCCCTCCTCCCTCCTCACCCAATCTACTTCCAAATGCACCGCCAATCCCTGGCCTGACACCGATACTCCAGCTTAGCCCTCCAGGAGTTATAACTTCTCCATCGCGTCCGCCGCCCACTTCTGATTCCAACCTGGAAGGCCCTTCTTCACATTTGGCTGGAAGTGATGAGGGGGCTGGGATTAGTGCTAGTAATGAAAAAGCTATAGTTGTTGGTGTCGTCGTGGCCAGCATCTTCATGATTGTGTTGATGGTGACGGTGTTCTTCTTGAGGAGGAAAATTAAGAGACAACCAGAGGGCTTTGCTAGCCACCATTATTTGCCACCGGCTAAATTTTCCCAAAATGCAGGTGAAGGTTTATTAATTATTCTTTTAGGTATTAGTTCTAAGTTTTGGGTCATTTTGGAAATTCCATCATGCATCTACATATGTAGACAATTTTTGCAAGTTTTGTATATAATCTTTGCGACTTCTAGTTAAATGATGTCTAAAGTTCTAAATAAATTTTTGCAAATGGAGTGAATTTGTTCTAAACAGCCTTATTATTTTCTTCTTCTTCTTCCTCACGTTGGATGCTACTCTGGGTAAAAGCCAGGCACAGGACAATTTGGAACTGATTCACAGCAGCCGAGCTCCAAGGGAACTAGCTTTGGAAGTCAAAAAGGCCATATGCAGCCTGTAGGGACACCAGATTCAACCATTCTAGGTGCCTCAAAAACCTTGTTTACCTATGAAGAGTTGACGGAGATAACAGGTGGATTTTCTCGCCAAAATGTTATTGGTGAGGGTGGCTTTGGCTGTGTGTACAAGGGATGGCTGTCGGACAGGAAAGAAGTTGCTGTTAAGCAGCTCAAGGCAGGTAGCGGACAAGGGGAACGAGAATTCAGGGCTGAAGTAGAGATAATTAGTCGTGTTCATCATCGACATTTGGTTTCTCTGGTGGGTTACTGCATATCTGAGCAGCATAGGTTGCTCATCTATGAATTTGTTCCAAATAAAACTCTGGAGCATCATTTACATGGTAAGTTGAATTCCTTGTTTGTTATTTATGTTGAGCTTCCTATCTAATTTCTGGGTTCTTATTGATATCGGTTTGTCTTCTCAGGTGAGGGACTGCCAGTGCTGGACTGGGTCAAAAGACTCAAGATCGCTATAGGCTCTGCAAAGGGTTTGGCATATTTGCATGAAGATTGTAAGTTTTTCTATTCAAGATCATTACTTGTCATAGAAATT